GGCACCGGCCACATACACAGGGGCTGGCAGGTTCGAATCCAGCCCGGACCTGCCAAACAACAATGACAACTGCAACAAAAAAATAGTCAGGCATTGTGGCAGACACCTTTAGTCTCAGCTACTTGGGAGGTTGAGGCAAGAGAATAGCTTAAGCCCAAGACTTGGAGGTTGCTATGAGCTATGATGCCATGGAACTCTACTGAGGGCAACATACTGAGACTCTGTCTCAAAAGACAAATAAAACAAAATATAACTTATCACAGATATTGTTAACCTTGATCACTTGACCAAAGTAGTGTTTGTCAGGTTTCTCCACTGCAAAGTTATTTTTTCCCTCCTTACACATTCTACTATTTGGACCAAATCACTAAGCTTAGCTCATACTGCATCCTTAAGGAGGGAGTATCATATAAATTATTTTAAATTTTTACGTACAAGACCAAGTCTCTTTTAAACCTACTCCACCAGAAGTTTCCCTCTATTAAAAGTGCTCTTACCAAGGTCACCAACTTACTCCAAGTTTCTAAATCTAATGGTAATTCTTAATCTTTATCTTATCATATCTATCAGCAGTATTTGTCATAGTTGATCACTCCCTCTTTCTTCAAATACTTTCCCTATTTGCTTTCCTTCCCTTTGCCTCTCCTGTTTTTGTTTTCTTCTTATTTCCCTAGTGGTCCTTTCCCTGTTCTTACTCCTGACCTCTTAATATTAGAGTCCCCACTTCAGTCCTTCATCCTCTTTTCTTCTCTATCTTTATTCATTTCCTTAGTGATATTATCTAATTATGCGGCTATAAATTTTATTTATATGTGTCCATATTTATATCTCTCTCCCAAACTCATAATTCATAACCTTTTATTCAATATGCCAGCTGTATCCCTAATAAACACTACAAATTTAGTATGTTCCAAATTGAATTCCCAATATTTCCCTATCCCAAATATAGCTCTACTTAAAGTTTTTCCCATCATAGTTGATTGTATATATACCCTTCTAGTTGCTCAAGTTAAAAGTTGTAATCTTCAACTCTTCACTTTCTTTCATGTTATAGAACCAATCATCGGGAAAACATATTGGCTCTCCACTTAAAATCTTATCATTGCCCATGGCTACCACTCAGACTTCTATCAAAACTCAATGGATTATTGTCATAACCCTCTAAGTGGGGGCTGTAATAGTTACAAACTACGTATTAAGTCTATTCTCAATACCATGGTCAATGTGATCCTTTCAAAATATAAGTCAGAACATGTCAGGAATCAAAATCCTGCAATGGCTACCCATATCATATAAAATAAAAGACACAGGCTTTAAAATGGCCTACCATGAAGCCCTCAGACAGCTCTGATCTTTTCTTCTCCATACTCATCTCTGGCTCCCCTAGCCTCATTATTCCCTGAACCTGCCAAGAATTTTCCTTAACTTCAAGCATTACAGTCTATCTCTAATCTCTGCCTAGAATGTTCTTTCTCCTTTAATGGTAACTTATCCTCATAATGTTGCTCTAAAAATAAGACCTGGAATACTCACCAGACTTCTGGTTTCCTTAACCCAGATATTTTTTCTTTTCTCCATAGCGTTCACCACCTTCTACTACACTACAAGGCTTATTAATTTATTTCTTAACTGATATTATTTGTTTTATCCCACTAGAATGTAAGGAAGGATCTCTGTTGCTATAGCTATTATTCAGTGATTTATTCTAAGGTCTTGGATCAGTGCCTGACACAGAGTAAAGACTCAATAAATATTATAAAGTTAATTTTAAAAATTATCTAAATAGGACATCTTGTTCCAATTATTTCACTTCTCTTAATTAAAAAACTCCATTTCTGTACTAGGACTGACAACCACTGTTTGCCTTCCCAGACCTCTGGGGGAGAGAGGGGTTGAGGAATAAGAAATACAGTTTATACCATTTGGGTGATAACTACACTAAAAGCTCAGACTTCACCATTATGTATTATATCCATATGGCAAAATTGCACGTGTACCCTCTCAATCTATATAAACAAAAACAAAAAACAGGAAGGGGCAATATGCACTGAGTACTTACTAAGTGCCAGACACTGCTCTAAGTACATTGCAGGTCCATTTAATCCTCACAACACTCCTATGAAATACATGTTATTATCGTCCCCATTTTACAAAGGAAGCCAAGTAATTTGCTCAAGGACACAGCTATTAAGGGGAGAGCCACAATTGAAACCTACATAGTCTATATTAGAACATACACTCTTCATCAATGTTCAACTGCTTTCATACAGACCTTGAAAAAGTAGCCACAGGAAAATACCTACACTTACTGACAGATTTAGAAAATGAGCAAAGCATTCAAGTTTTAGTAGGTACTAAAACTGCAAGGTAATGTTGAATGGGAAAGCAAAGAAGCAGGAGGAAAGCAAAGAAGGAAGAGGAAAGCAACACAGCCAGCGTGCAAGAGGAAAAGATAAAAGGATAGTGCACATATGCACAGAAAAAAAGAAGAGGTGAGATGCTGTAAACCCCCAAAACAAGATAGGCAAATAGACAGACATTAGTTTATAAGAACTTTCAAGTCTTAAGAAAATTATCTGACACCCTGAAATAGGACTCTGTAAATTTTATATACTTTTAATAACTCAATTGTTTAAGTGAATTTCTACTCTTGGACACAGAGCTATCTTTAACTAGAACAATTTCCATATTACTATGGACCTCTTATAAAAAATCTCCATGTTTGTTACAATAAATAATTAAATCAATATGGAAGTCAGTATGACACAGTAAAAGTAAATATATTTGGGAAAAAGCAACCCAGATTTATGTCTCGCTTCTACCATTTTGCTAGCTATGTGACCTTGGACAATCTCCCTGAACTTTAATTATGGGTCTATAAAATGGGAATAATAACACATGCCAAGCCTGCTTCAAATGTTACTGTACTAAGTGAAATTGTATTTGTGAGTGGGCTTTGAAGAATATAAACTGCTCCACAAATGTTACCTATTATGATGGTGATTCCAGATGTGAAATCACTTTAGTACTTTTAAAGAAGAATATAATCTCTTCTCTTTGCAAAGGTAGATAGTATAGTTATTCAAAGTGTTTCTGTGATTAAGAAATCATTTTATGTTTCTGGACCTGTACATGCACATACCACTATAATAGCCAAAATAAATAAATGTGTGTGAATGTTCCTTCATTCACATGTAAAGATACTGAAAGTTTAATACTTTTGTCTAAAAGCACAAAATGACTAAGGAATACTGTTTAGTATTCAATGAAATAATGTGAAGAATTATGGTTCTTCCCTGCTAAGTTCCTATTGGTTCTTCCTATCATTACCTGATCCAAACAGTGCTAAAACCAAAGCTGAGAAGTTGGACATTTCTCTTAAAATGTCACAAAAAACCAATGGCATAGCCACAACTAAGCTGAAGAGTCTTCTGAGGCCAAAGCCATTTCTATATATGTAGACCATGTTCTACTACACTACTAGTTTTAAAATGGTTTTTAAGGGATTGTTAGATTGAATGGCATAAATGAGTTTTATGAAGAGTTATAATGAAGAAATTGTTCACAAAATAGAAAATAAACTCCCTGTCCTAATTGGGATTCAGAAAAACAGAAGAGTGCATGCTAACAAAAGCAGGAATACTTCCTAATTTTCACTCCCAACTTTCCTTTTTGATTATGAAAGAAATTAGCCCATTTTTAGACATGTAAAGGCAATACATAATAGTTCTATACCAGTAGGAAGGAAGCTGTGTAAAATGAGGGCATTGTCTAAATAATGTCTAAGGAAAGTTTCAATTGAAAAAGTTTGTTATATTAAATAAGTTGAACTCAATCACCACCAATGTCCCAACTTTTAATCTTGATAAAGAAAAAGAAAAATTACTCCAAAATCAAAAGCAGACATTCACCTGGCTTCCAGCTGTCTTTACCTATAGGTAAGTATCATTAACCATTTTTTGAATTTCACCACCATCCTTGACAGTGTTCATTTGAAAATGTTTATTTTTCCTAGAGCAACTGACTTTCAAACTATGATACCTCTGTATGTAAAATAGGAGGTCAATAGCCTTTCCTTTTCTCTTTGTAAAGAATTCTTCGAACTTCTCTCTTTTGGCACTATAACTTTCTATGAATGACAGGTTGATTGCTACTGTACAATCCTGGGTCTCCACAACAAAGAAAAAAAAAACACTCCTCTTATCTTTCTACACTTTAGGAATACATACCAACAGGTTAAGTCCTTAGTTTGCCAAGACACTATTCTCAACATATTGTACCCTATTCTCTCTATGAGATTGGATAAAATTCCTCAGAAATGTGATGCTTGCCTTTCTCTCATGTTTCCTCAATTCCAAACCCCTAGTCCTTTCATCAAACCGATTACATGCTGATGAAAAGTAATTTACCATTACTACACATGATAAATCCCTAAAACAAAATCTGAGTTTGACACCAACCAAGAACTGTAAGTGTTAATATCCTTGACATCAACAACTGAAGTAGGCAAAATGTGATTTCATATTCTATGTTGTAAATAAACTGCCATTTACTTGGATACAAACCTGATTTGACTATGCATGTATTCTCCAACCAAATATTCTTTTATATGACCAACTGCAAGTAATACAAATTCTACCCAAGGACTTTAGAAAGTTAAGGTGGTAAAAACAATGAAAGAAGGAAGGTAGGGAAAGTGACTTCTTAGTTAAAATAATAGGTTACTCAAAGGTGACAAAAGAACAGAGATTTCACTTTGCTCCTTTACTACTAGGAGCTTATCAAGAAGAACATGATAGACCATGTAGAACGTGCTACTAGAAACAAAAATAATTTTATGGTTGGGGGTCACCACAACATGAGGAACTCTAATATTAAAGGGTCGTGGCATTAGGAAGGTTGAGAACCACTAATGTAGAAAGTTATAATTAATTACACATAAAGCCTAGAACTTAGGACATCTGTACACATATTGGTTCACTCATTAAGTGCAGCTTTACCTCAGTAAGCCCAATATTCTTCCTTTTAATGACATTTTGCAGAGAGTTGCTCAGAGTCCTAGTTAGCAACAGGTTTGTTGACTTACGAATCATGTCATCCACTTCAGTTGAGCTGAAAAAGAAGTGTCAAGAGTCAGTTATCATAGGTAGCAGAATTATACTGGTAAACAATCAGTGTGCCAGTGGTACTTGTATTAATAATAATAAAATAAAAATAGCAGTAGCAGCAGGAAATAATATTTGTTGTGTGCTATACAAAGTATTTTAACAAATTCTTCTAGCTTTTATTTGCTGAAAAAACAACGTTGCCTTCATTTTTGAAAATTATTTTGCTGTCTTTAAAATTCTGGCTTGACTTTTTTTCAAGGAAGTCATTCTACTGCCTCCACCTTGCATAGTTTCATGCAAGAAGTCCACTATAAATCTTATCATTATACCTGCATATAATTTTTATTTTTATAAAAGCCTTCTAGACATTCTCTTTATCCTTTTTTCATGAATTTGAATATGATGTATTTTTGTGTGTGTAGTTCACCATGATACTTTGTTTGTTGTTGTTATTAATTATCTGAATTGGGTTCTAAAAATTGTGAATTTCTTGTTTGATGTCTTTCATTATTTTTGGAATATTCTTAAACATTTTCTCTTAAGATATTCCGTCTTCCCTGTTCTCTCAGTCTACTACTCCCTGGATCTACTGTTCAAAATGACAGCCACAGATCTTGAATACTTTGATGTATTTCTTTTACCTTTTTTTCTCTTTGAGTGACAGTTTCACTAATTTCCATGCCAATTCTACTTGTAAGCCCCTCAAAGGAATAGTTCATTTCTAAAACTGTTTCTTATTTCAAGCATTTCTATTTGACTCTTTCCTTTAATTTCCATGTCTGCTAAAAACTTCCTATATTTTCAAGCACATAGCATTTTAAAGTTCCAAAATGATAGTTCTAACTATGTGGTCACCATATAATCTCATTCTGTTAATGAAACAAAAAGCTGGTTCTTTGAAAAGATAAATAATATTGATAAACCATGGACAGATTAACCAGAAATAAAAAAGTAAAATCTTTAATAACCTCAATGAAAAAATAAAAAGTGGGAAATAACAACTGATACCACAGAGATACAAGAGAGTATTTCTATCTACTACCCAAAATGCTATGCCCAGAAATTTGACAATATGGAGGAAATGAACCAATACCTGGAATCACACCATCTGCCTAAACTTAAGCAGGAAGAAATAGATCTCCCTTTTTTTTTTTTTTAAGCAGTTTTTGGCCAGGGCTGGGTTTGAATCTGCCACCTCTGGCATATGGGGCCAGCGCCCTACTCCTTTGAGCCACAGGCGCTGCCCAGAAATAGATCTCTTAAACAGACCAATATCAAGCACTGAGATTGAACAAACAATAAAAAAAACTTCCAGTGGGGCAGCACCTGTGGCTCAAAGGAGTTGGGCGCCAGCCCCATATGCCAGAGGTGGTGGGTTCAAATTCAGCCCTGGCCAAAACCTGCAAAAAACAAACAAACAAACAAAAAGCTTCCAGCAAAAAAAAAGGCCCAGGACCAGATGGCTACAGATCAGAATTCTATCACACTTTCAAAGATGAGCTTGTATCTACACTGTAGAACCTATTCCAAAACACTGAGAAGGACAGAATTTTCCCCAACACGTTCTATGAAGCAAAGATCACCATGATTCCAAAACAAGGAAAGGACTCAACTAAAAAGGAGAACTACAGAACAATTTCATTAATGAATATACATGCAAAAATAACAAAATCTTAGCTAATAGATTGCAGCTACACATTAAAAAATTATATATCACAATCAAGTAGGCTTGATCCAAGGGATGCAAGGCTGGTTTAATATATGCAAATCCATAAATGTAATATTCCATGTCAATAGAAGCAAAAAAAAGACTATGTGATCCTCTGAATAGATGCAGAAAAAAGTATTTGACAAAATTTAGCTTTGTTATTAAAGATGGTAGTGAAAGAAACTACAAAATCACCCAGGCACCATATCTGAACTAAGAAAATTTTGAAAAACCAATGTAGTAAATGATTTAATTGAGTCTGACACCAACCAAGAACTATATCCCCTAAACCCAGCTCTTGTTATAGTATGTTGAATATAACATAAAATGTTCCTATCCTAAAGAGGCCTTTTCTTATGTCCTCAATTTTCTTATGTCCTCAATTTGTGTTTGGCTTGGCTCGGCTCCTATGGTGCTGCTATATACACCTGTATTTATCACTAATTGTTTAGTTCTTCAATTAGACTAGGTAATCCCAGAAGACAAGGATCACATTTCTAGCATCTTAATGTCTTTATGTCTTCATCATCAAGCAGCATCTGACAAATAATATGTTAGCTATAGTATATGATGAATAAACCAATAAGTGAGGGGAAAAAGGGGGGCACTCCAATCTACCCTTATGGGAACATATATATACAAGTAGAGCAATAATATTTCTTAACAATGTTATCAGCTACTTCCCTCTGGTCTTTAAATTTAATCAAGTAGAACATTAAAATTAGTATGTCATACTATAATTTTCTAGTGAATTTTCATTAATAGAAAAGGTTAAAGAGCAAATCTGTTAAAAAAAAAAAAGTAGAGAATAGTATGGATAATAATGAATTTTTAAAATTATTCAAAAGTTACCAACTTTCCCTTTTATCATATAAATATGACAGCCCTTTACTCATGCAGTAAAGGGCTACTATTAAGACTTTCAAAATCAGAGCTGAAATTTCAGAATATTTATATATATGTATACAGTCACAATTTTAACACTGGTTACATTTTCACTATTTCATATTATACCTTAGATGAAGATCTTCTGAAAACTTCAGACAGGCATAGATAAATTCTTTAATTTGGTTGTAAACTTTTGGCACAAATTCAGAGAAAGGAAACTTTTTTGGAAATGGTTGCTATAAATACAAAAATTAAGAATATCAAGTCACAAACCAACAAAACTGAAGACATTTGTAAAATATTTACATCACATAAAGAACATTCTCCACATTGTCTGCTATCTGCTTAACAATGTGAAATTTAAGGAAATGCCCTGAAAAGTTTTCTGATGCTAAAAAGAATAAAACAGAAATTTAAATAAAACAATAATCTAAATGCCTTTCCTCATGTAAAGGGATAAACAAATTACAGTATATGCTCAGCAATAAAAAGGAATGAAGTATTGAAATATGCACCAACTTAGATTAATTTCAAAGCTTTTCATAGAGTCAAATTAGTCTCAAAAGTTTACATATTGTATGGTTCCATTTATATGTCATTCTGAAAAAGGCAAAAGTAGACAGAGAACAGACTGGTAGTTTCCAGGGGCTAGGATTATGGGAGGGGTTTATTAAAAAGGGACAGCATATGGGTATAATAGAACTATTCTATATAATAATTATGGTAGTGGATATATGACTCAATGCATTGTCAAAATCAGAAGAACTATAACTACAAAGAATAAATTTTATTGTATGTTTTTGGGATAAAATGTCTTAAGAGTATAATCCAGTAATCCTCTAACACAGGGGCGTCCAGCCTTTTTTCTTTTCTGCCACACATTGGAAAAATAAGAGTTGTCTTGGGCAACACATTAAATACATAAACACTAACAAAAGCTGATAAGCAAAAGAAAAGGTCCATGCTTAACTTTCTCAATATCCAACACCACAGATAAACAAAACAGTCCTCAAATAATCTGCATGTGGTCCACAGGCCACAGGTTGGACACCCTGCTCTACCACTTCAGAAGTAAAAATATCCAAAGCCAGAAAAATAACCAGAAAATTCTATTCCTCTAAGTCCCAGAAAGAGTCCTCTGAAGGAGTTTTAATGCCTTTAAAGAAATTATTACACTGAAAGCATTCAGAGGATGCCAAACCAAAGAAGTTATTTTAAAGCATTCCTTACCTTTTCCAGCTCTTTATCTTGGAATGGGAATTGTCCTACCACCTTTTTATACATCTCTTCACTTGTTACTGGTATGGGACTGTAGTTGTCAGAATCAAGTATATTTCTATAAATAAAATGGAAGAATGGAGGGAAGGGAGTAAATGGTGGTTAATTACAAATAATTTTCTGATGAACTCTAGTGATTGTAAATATACCACAGTCCAAAATGAAGGTTTTCCTGTCCTTATCATATTCCTTTCACAACAGAGCTATCTGCTTTAGCGTTAGGCTATCCTTTAAAGAAGACAGAAAGAAATCTATACTCTGAAACTAATGGAACATAATTATAAATGTGAACTCCTATTAATTTGAGTTTTATACATGAGACAAAAAATTTTAAAACAAGTGATAAGTACACAACAATAGTAACCCTGTACTAGATCTTCCATTCTAACTTTCAAAACTGGCAAATAGCATGGAAAGGGAGGAGGGATGAAGGCAAACAAAAAGAATATAAATTGTATTTATTACGACTGAACTATACTCTTAAAAATGGTAAAGACAGTAAATTATATATGTATATTTTACTGCAGTAAAAATACATTTAAAAATGAGCAAATAAGAAAAATAAGTTCCATAATAAATCCAAACTATGTTAACTTACTTCGTCTACTGTGCTATGTTAATCGTGATTTTTTTTAAAAGCAGAGACTACACAATCAAAATTAAAACAGAGATTCACCAAAGGCATCAGATCAAAAGCATCTAAGTCTATGGATATGTGAGGTTATTAATTTTCAACCTTCCTGTAAAGATAAACCTTGCTTAATTATAACATTAGATAAATATGGGTTTTAAAAACATTACTATTTATATTAATACACAGATGAACTAATGATGCAGAATATAGTCTAAACTGTAAAGAGTAAGATTAAAAAATAATGGAAGATCTTAAATCTGTAAGAATTTGAAAACAGGATAAGCTGATGCAGGAATGGATATTGCATTAGGCAATATAGGTTTATGGGCGGCTCTGTGGCTCAGTGAGAAGGACGCCGGCCCCATATACTGAGGGTGGCAGGTTCAAATCCAGCCCCGGACAAACTGCAACAAAAAATATTTGGGCGTTGTGGTGGGTGCCTGTAGTCCCAGCTACTCAGGAGGCTGAGGCAGGAGAATTGCCTAAGCCCAGGAGTTGGAGATTGCTGTAAGCTGTGACTACACAGCACTCTACCAAGGGCAATAAAGTGGGACTCTGTCTCTAAAAAAAAAAAAAAAAAGTACAGGTTTATAAAGAGAAGAAATTCAAATGAGTTGACATGGGGTTTGTGCCGAAAAAACAGTACAATGAGCCATTTTGGAATGGGAGATATAAGAGAATAACTTCCTTATTATTGTATGTATATTATGAGAAATGCTTAAATAATAGGCTTAGAACGCTGGACTATAATAAGCCCTTTCTCTGTGTGTACTGAAGGAAAATTATGAAGAATAACATGAACGAGTCCTCAAAAAAGATTTCCCCAAAACCCAAATTATTCAAAGGCCTCAAATGCCACTCACTATAAGTGAATTATAAATTAGGTATGATCCCACAGGATCACGCTTATGGTTCATCTTATAAGGGTACATGTGAATCTTTCTAAATGTAGAATATAAATGTCTTAACACAATAACTAAGAAAATGACATGAAGGCTATGTTAACCAGTTTGATGAAAATTTTTCAAATTGTATATAAAAACAGCACACTGTATCCCATGACTATATTCATGTACACAGCTATGATTTAATAAAAAAATAAACAAATTAGGTATGAACCTCAAAGAGATAACCAAGAAAACAATAGATGCAAGATGATCTAGAAGGTATGAACCAAGGAATTTTATATTTATCCAGAGAAACAAAAATGTCAAAATAAGGTCTGGGGAACTTCCCAACATAGTGTAGAGACTAATACATCAAGACTGGATATCTTAGGAAAATCATTTTGCATCTTATCACAATTCTCTTGAATTCTGGATCATAACCTGGAGTAGCTAGAAAATATAAGCCATAAATACTAATTTTCTATTCCATCTGAAAAACCTTGCACATAAATACATGAGTGCACAGCAATGCACATGAACATACACATATGAGTATAGGTAATGTCTCACCTGAAAATACCTGCCCACTTCTTTAGCAGCGTTTCGCTATACTGGTCTCGGATTTCTAACAGCATGTCAAAAAGCTGATTTACAGGAAAACCATATACCTGAACAAAATACGAAAATAGCTTCATTTTCTAAGGTAATCTTTTTTAGCAGCATAAAAGAAATTAGGCACTGAAAAACATGTTATTTTTGGACTGTAATTTAAATAAGACCAAGATGGTAGAACATTTCATTCCCACCTAGTATCTAGTTTTTATCTCTCAAAACTTAAATGATACATAGCAAAATATCTAAGCCAGTCAGTAAAAACATAAAAATTAAATTCAATATATACTGTGTATACTGTTAGCTAAGTCCTCCCTAGAACTTCTCCTGTAACTCTTGCAGCAACCTTCAATGAAGGAAGGGTAAAAACACTACCCATCTCCCCCTCTTCTAATGTTACTCTAATAGATGTAATATGTGATTCAAATCACCACCATTATTAAAGATGGTAGTGAAAGAAACTACAAAATCACCCAGGCACCATATCTCAACTAAGAAAATTTTGAAAAACCAATGCAGTAAATGGTCTGATTAACTGTTTGGGTCTGAGAGAAAAAAGGGGGTGGGAACTACTTATAAAAGCATAAAGTATCAGGAAACACTATAAAGAGATTATCTAGCTACAGGAAAAGAATAAACACAACTACAAACTAAAAGGTACTAGTCTAAGTTTAAGTAGGACAGTAAAAGATTTGGAACTGATGAAATACTGATCTAGATGAGTTTATGTGTAGCAGCAGTCGCGTACCTGAAGTGTGTCTGCAAAAAGCACAATGAGGTTCTTCAAGTCTAAAACAAGGTTTGGATCGGAGCAGTAAGACTAAAGGAAATAAAAGACAAAGGGAGTAGAAAGACAAACATCTTAATTATTAAAAATTAAATTAAATTTGTATTAATTTACCTACTAAAGTCTCCCTAGAAAGAGTCCATGCTTTTCTGGAATAAGACAGCATCAACATAATGTCCACAGTTAGGCTTTACTCTTTGTGTTGTATGTTTTATGGTTTTGTTTGTTTGTTTGTTTGTTTGTTTGTTTTTGCAGTTTTTGGCCAGGGCTGGGTCCGAACCCACCACCTCCGGCACATGGGGCCAGTGCCCCACTCTTTTGAGCCACAGGCGCCACCCTGTTTTATGGGTTTTAATGTATGTATATTGACATGCACCACCATTTCAGTGTCACAGAAAACGGTTTTGCTGCCCCCCACCCCAATTCCCTGTGTTCTGCCTATTTATCCTTTTCTCTCCTCAACCCCTGGTTGATAGTTTCGTTGTCTCTAAAGTTCTACCTTTTCCAGAATCCACTATAACTGAGATCATACATTATAGATAACCTTTTCAGATTGGCTTCTTACATTTAGCATGTATGTGTATTTAAATTTCTTCAATATTTTTTCTTGGATTAATAGCTCATTTCTTTTTATCATTGAATAAATTCCATTATATGGATATACACATGTCACAGTTTATTCATTCATTCACCTACTGATGAGCATTTGGTTGCTTCCAAGTTTTGGCAATTATGAGTAAGCCGCATTATACGTCTATTTGCAGATTTTTGTATGAACATAAGTTCTCAACTCATTTGGACAAATACTTAGGCATACACTTGCTAGGTTATATGATAAGAGTATGTTTAGTTTTGTAAGAAACCACTAAACTGTCTTCCAGGCTGGCTGTACTATCGTCTATTCCCACTAGCAATGAATCAGAGTTTCTGATGTTCCACATTCTCTAGTATTTGGTATTAGCAGTGTTTTGGATTTTAACCATTTCTAGAAATACATCCTAGTATCTCATTATCATTTACATTTGCAATTCCTTGATGACATACGATAATAATTATCTTATATATGCATATTTGCCTTTTTGGTGTTGTATCTGTTCAAACCATTTGCCCATTTTTATATTGGGTTGTTTGTTTTCTTATTGAGTTTTAGGTTCTTTGGGGCTGGGCATGGTAGCTAAAGCTTGTAATCCTGGCTCTTTTGGAGGCTAACACAGGAGCATCACTTGAGCCCTGGAATTTGTGGTTGCAATGAGCTATGATCCTTCCACTGCACTCCAGTCTAGGGAACAGGGTGAGACCCCCTCCTTTAAAATAAAACAAATAAGAAAAAGAGATCTTTGTATATTTTAGGTACCAGTACTTTATTAGATATGTGATTTACACGATTTCTCTCAATCTGTGGCTTATCCTTTTGCTCTCTTATTTTCTTTAGTTTGTATCCACCTAAATATTCAGCCTTAATCAATATTTTCTTTCTCTACTTTATATAAAAGGAAATAAGCCATACGTATAATTTCTATATTGCTTCTTTCATTCAACATTATATTTTTGAAATTTATCAGTGCTATTTATTGTATGTAGGTTTACTTTGGCCATTTTCATGCTGTAGAGTATTTCATATTTGAATTTAACCCAGATTGTCCATTTTACTACTGATGGACATTTAAATCACTTCAAATTTTGAAAAATTCAACAATGCTAGAATAATATCCTTGCTTTACTGCAGCATTTTAGGGCAAATTTATCGAGGGAATACCGTTATAAATATTGATTCATGGTATCTTCAATTTTACAAGATAATGCCACACTTTTTAAAAGTGTTTTCTAATTTAAACTCATTTCCTGAGCAGTGTATGCGAGTTCCTATTGCCCCATACCTTTATTGACATTAGTATTGTTAATTCCTGAGTAATGTTACCTCATTTGGTTATGATTTGCACTTCACTGATATGATAAGAAAGCTAAATACCTATCACATGATTTTTACTAGACAGGTAGATTCTTTTTGTTAAGTACTTGTTTAAGCCTTTAGCCAATATCAACATATTATTATTAATTCAAGTCCATTGTTTAAATTGGGATTTACTCTTTGTGTTACATTTTCTATGTGTTTTAATATATTTGAAATGTGTCTCTTTATTGTAATAATTTATAGAAATTATTTATACAGTCTATATTAGTTCATTGAAAATATGATATATCTTACAAATACCATTTTTCAATATATGGCTCATTTTCTACTATCTTTTATAAGGTTTATTCTTATAATTTTACTGTAGTTTAATATTTACTATAAGAATCCTTTATGAATAATCCTTTTTATATCTTAGGTAAAGAGTTTTTTCATATCTTGTATCATTAAAATATTCTCTTGTGCTGTTATATTCTAAAAGATTTATGGTTATGGTTTTCACATTTTCATATTTATCCACTTGAAACTCAATTTTTGATGTATATCTTCCCCCATCATAATAGCCAATTGCCCAACTACTATTCTCCAAAAGTCCATCGTCTATCCACTGACCTCCAATGCCACCTCATTGGCATATACATATGTCATATATAAAGAATCCAGGGGCAGTGCCTGTGGCTCAGTGAGTAGGGAACTGGCCCCATATATGGAGGGTGGTGGGTTCAAACCCAGCCCCAGCCAAACTGCAACAACAACAACAATAACAACAAAAAAAGAATCCATAAATGTATGAGACTATTTGAAGTATCATCATCTATCTAATGATAATATGAGATTATTTTAAATTAATGATTTTTAAATTATCTCAATATCTGGCAAAAGTAACTCAAATATCTATTTTCAGTCTTGAGTCTCTTATTTGCTCTTGGCTATTCTCCTGACTTAAAAATATTATAAATAAGTCATAAGGTAACCATCCTCATGATAATAAAACTATTGAAATTTTGATTGACACTAAATTAAATCTACAGATCAATTTTGAGAAAACTATCTTTACAATAACTCTTCTAATCAATAAACATGGTATATCTCTCAATTTTTGTTAGGTCTTTAACTCATTTTAGTCTGTTAATATCCTTTTAGAATTTTCTTCACAAAGGTCTTTAATATCTTTAATATCCTGCTATGTACATTTCTAAGTTTCTTTTTGTTTATAATATTATATATATTTTATCTTAAAAATTTTATTCTCGGTTTATAAAAACATTATTAATTTCATAAAATGATTTTGTAACCAGGAAACTTGCTAAACTAATCTATTGCCTGTAAATAATTTTAATGCAATTCCTTTGGATTTCCAATGTACAAAAGCACATCCTCTACAAAAGTTACCAAGTGACCCCAGGGAAAATGTAGCTTAAATGTTTAGCCTATCTATCTATCCAATTTCCTTTGGATTTGGCCAAGTTAATTCCTTACAACACTTACTAATACTTTGAGACTTAAAAGAATATTTTGTATATTAAATATGAAATGTAGCATTTTTAGTTGCTTCTACCTGAACAGTTGGTATGACTAACCTAGGCTTTTATATTTCTAAATCAGAAATAATCATTGCTTTGCAAATTTTTCTACAAGCTCATATGTTGTTTGTGCTTACTAAAGAATAGTTATTCTATTCTTTTACTGTTGTCTACTAGACAATATAGTTGGTTTTCCTCAAATATTTTATGACTCTTGGCAATTTGTTCATATTTTGGGATGAAGAACCAGGCCGATTAGTATGGAAAACTGGGATGGGTTTCCTCCTCTGTAATTCAAAGTCTGTTTCCCAGGAAACTGACTACAGGCTCTCTGTAAGTAGGTGGGAAGATGAATCACTTTCTTCAAAAAGCAGTACTCAAGATCTTCACTGATCAAGCTATTTTGTCATTACGTAGGTAGTAAGGCTTAGGTTATCCAAGGAAATTGGATAGGAAACTGGTTGGCCAAGATTTTAGGAAAACAGACATCTAAATAATTTCCCTCATGATTTCTCAAAGGAATGGTCCTGTTCACTGTATTTGTTGACTCTGAATTTAAAATATTCCTAGATTCTACTGGAAGATTGTCTCATACTTTGAAAATATCCTTCTCTACCATATTTAATGTAACATTTTGTTTTCTCTGTTTCAGTCATTATTCTGATTCCATCTGTTTTTCTAAGCTCAGGAAATTTTTTCAAAATTTCTAGACTACAAGGGCAATTAATTAAGTTTGTGAACTAATCATAGAAAAAGTCCTACATATCTCATTGCTGACTATCACTACAGTCACTTTTGAAGTACTCCCCTTAGGAAGTTATGCTCTGATACCAGCACCTAGTTCACCCTTCAAAGCACTTTTTCTAGAAGGAGTTTTTACAACTTAATTGTCAGACCTTCATATGACAGCTCTAATGGTCACTCCAGAAAAGAGTTCCAAAAGTGCCTAGAAGAGTACACTAGGTGCTGGTGCTGGTGTATAACTTCCCAAGAAGAGTACTTCAAAAGTGACCATAGTGATATTCAGCCATGAGGTATGTAGCGCTTTTTCCAGGATGAGTTCTTAAACTTGACTGTCTGATCATGTACTACATATAGATAATAATTTAAAGAGCTTCTCTTTTTAGTTTCTTTCTCTAATTTTATTAAGAAGACATAAATCATTAAGCAAAAGATCAATAAAATTACACAAAAATTTTAAAATGTTTATAAAACTGCAGAAACTAAGAGAAAAGACTTATAACATACACACCAGATTAGAAGTTAACATTCAGATAAAAGGGTGACATCTATGTTTTATTAATAGGAAATAAATATATTTAAAAAATGCAAGTATAAAGGCATGTAAGTGAACAAAAAATTCTAAGATAGACAAATACTCAAAATATGGGAAAACATTTTTTGTTATTATGATTAATGAAATAAAAGCACATTATTAATTAAATAAGATTATTTCTGATATATTAAGAATAGTTTTCTGTCTTTAAACATAACCTATAGAATAAAAGCAATAGGGAAATAGACATTCTAACAGATGCTACTCAGAATTCTAAATCATTCAGTATTTTTACAGAGCAAATTAGCAATGGCTAGGACCTAAGAAATATATAGATACTCTACCTCACTAATTCCATCTTTAAGAATTTTTCTTAAGTATAATTAAATTATACAAGAATATATTTACAAAAATATTCATTGCAAAAAAACAATATTCACTGCAATGTTGTTAATAGCTAGAAAAACAAAAACATTTTTAAATCTCTAAATAGCAAGCGGATCAGTTAAAAAGTAAAGGCATATTCCTACAAAAGAAATTACATATATTAAAATAAAAATTAATTTACTAGACATTAAATGAAACATATAGTATGTTCGTATTTAAAATACATATTATATATTGCATATTCTGCACTTATAAACTGAAAAGAGGGCCTTTGAATTTATATATAAGAAAGCTAATAATAAGCAAGCTGAAGACTATTGCTGAAATTTGTTACTAATAATAAAAATTTCTATATGATATTAAAGATTTCTTATAGTTAATATGTTTTAAAACACTATTTAATAAGACATTCAAAAAATAATCCTAGGACAATGGATGCACTATCACAATAAAAAGAAAAAGAATAAAATCCTTAATTATACTATAAATGAAAGTAAGAAACAGCTGACTATAAATTTAAAAAATCTAGTCAAAAAATAGTTAAGAGATTTTTTTTAATCACAGAACAAGTAGTAACTTTTAAAAATATTTTCAAATTTGTTTGATTTTATTATTCACTATTTCAAAATGGCAAAAATGCCATATGAAGTCCCTGACCACAAACAAATAAGGGAAGAATATTAAAAATAAGATGAAATATAATTAAGTATGCTGAATAAAGGAATAAATCAGAGTCAGCATCCTTTACCTCAAATTAGGTGGATTATCACCAAAAATTTATGCTATGTTACAATTTTTCATTAGATCATGGGAACTGATAATTTGGTAACTTGGTGTGATGCGAACATTCTTCCAAAAAGTGACAGTAAAACTGCAAACTCCAAATCAGTGTGTAGGCAATATGGAATAGTGGTTAAGAACATAAGGTAAGAGTTATAGACTCTGGGTTTGAATCCAAGTTCTACCTCTTAATTGTGTGACATTATACGAGTTACCTAACCAATCTGAGGTTCAATTCCCCAGACTATAAAATAAATATAGTAGTATTCACTTTAATAAGGTTACAGTGAGGATGAAATAAGACAATACACATGAAATACAGACACATAGATAGCAATCAATAGATATTAGCTGCTATCTTCTTATTGCAAAGGTGAGGTCAGTGTTAGAAAATACGCCAATTTGAAGGAGCTACTTTTGCCTCTTTGAAGGACATGTACAAGTAGAAAAGGGTGATTCCAAAGATATACATGTATTGATTATAAAGCAGTAAAATACTAAATTGTGTATAGATAATCAACTTTAAGTAAGAAGTTAACTCTGGTGCTTCTTACATACCGAGTGGGTACGGAGTGCTGCAATGGTTTTTGAAAGTGCCATTTCCCATAGTTCATCAATGTAGGCTCTATTTACTAAGCCCTGGGTTGTATGCAAAATGTGATCTTCAACCACAAAAAAGCTAAGATTGAGGAAAAAAGAAAGCACAGTTGTCAGAAATTGCAGTTTGATTACTATCTGTAAGGTTTGACAAATATTAAGAGCTGCCACCAAATTCAAAGTTGATATTTCATTAGAAAGTTGTTTAGTATGAAAATGAAATCAGACTTGAAATCTTGCTTAAATGTTTCATATTAATGAAAACAAAACTGTATTAGGATATTTTAACAATCAATTTTAATCAAAACTATTAATTACATTGAAACAATCTAAAACTAAAAAAAGAAAGAAAAATTTGGAGGAAGCAATCCATTTATTTCATTTTCTTTTAACTGTACAGTTATTATTTTGCAATTAGAACAAGTCGCCTATGTTTGGGTTATATATTTGGGAACTTTTCTTCCATACCCCCATGTATACTCTAGGTGAGGGTAGCAAACTATAGCCCTTTGAATAAATCTGGCCCACTGCCTGTTTTTATTAAGACTGTTTTGCTGGAACACAGCCATGCTCACTTATTTACGTATTGTCTCTAGCAGCTTTCATACTATAACAACAAAACTAAATAGTTGTGACAGAGACCGTATGGCCTGCTAAGCCTAAAATACTTTACTAGCTTTTAGAAACAAAAAAAAGCCAACTTTTGTTGATTATTTCATTCCATCTTACAAAGAACAGAAAAACAGAACATCACGTATAATAAGATTACAATTCAATGTTTTTCCTTTATTCACAAAAAGTACCCTTTACCAATATAATATTGAAAGAAATGGGATATTTATTTTAAACCATTAGAAAAATCAAAATTAAATCTCACCTTAAAGATTTAAAAAACAAAAAGAATTTCCCAAGAAAAAACTGATTTATTTTTCCAAGTTTCACAATCTACATGTTAAAAGTGTATACATTTAAATATAAATATAAATATATACCTACCCTACAATTTGATTGAAATACTTCCTGTAGCCATCTAAAGTTTCATGCTGCAATAAAGCAAAGTAGAAAAAGTTATTGTTTGTTTTGTTACATTAATACAAAGTTAAAAACAGTTATTTAATCTGTTAAGACTTAGTTTCCTAGATTATAAAGTAAATATAATAACAGTACCTACATTATAGGAGTACAATGAAGATCAAATGAGATAATAGATATTTAGTACTTAGAACAATGCCTGACACATAGCATCCACAGATGTTTTCTCACTGCAAATCACATCCACCAAAAGTGGTCTCAGAATAACAGTAAATACGCTTTCTCCCCCAACCCCCAATCAAAAGATAACAAAGAAGAAAAGTGAAAATATGAGAAAAGCGAAAGTTGTAATCCTACCATGTTAGATGGAGGCTGGAGTACTAAACGGGCCTGTTTTCGCCTCTGTTTTCGGTAATAATTCTCAAATGTTTCCTGGGCACCCTGTACAACAGACAAAGGAAATAAGTTGACAAAATTAGACCAATTACTCTTGTATTTCAAAAGAAAACAGAAGGTCTCAGGTCTGGAATTTGAGGTAGTAAATCATTTCTCAAAATTTGCCATTTTAACAATGATAATAACCTTAGAAAGTACAAATAACTGTAACCAGTTATTGAACTTTACTTACAAAGGGTGAATACAAATATCTTTACAAGGAAACTTCCAGAACTCATCAGCACATCAAAGCTGGTTTCTGAATCAACTATTCTAAATTCACAAGAATGAAGGTAAACCAACCTTTTCATAGATTATAATAACAGGTGAGGAAATGTTACTTAATTAACAGACCACTCCAGAAGAAAAATGTCCAGAATAAAAACCAGTCTTCAAATGAATCATAAGCAAAGGAATAATGGGGAGCATGCAAAAGGCAGGAACTGTGAAAAGTAAATCAGTCTTTATAATCTAACATAGGATTAAACCTCAAAAAAAGAAACAACACCCTGGAAATTCTTGGTGCACAATTTTCAATTAGGATTTCTGAGCTTAAAAGAGAATAAGATCTGGCTCATAAGCTCTATAGTAGGTTGAATAGTAGCCTCCCAAAATTCATGTCCTTCCCAACAATTCAGAGTGTGACCTAATTTGGAAATAGGGGCATTGTAGATATAAATAGTTAAATTCAGATGAAGTTATGCTAGCATAGGGTGGGTCCTTAATAAAATAAAATATGACCAATGTCCTTCAAAGGCAGACACAGAGAGAGAGACACATAGGAGAATATCATATGACAACAGGACCAGAGATTGGAGAGATGCAGCTGTAAGCCAAGGAATATTATGTCACCAGCAGAAGTTATAAAGACACAAGAAAGGAATCTACACAGAGTTACAGACAGAACACTGCCCTTCTGATGCCCCTCTAATGCGTTGATTTTGGAATTTTAGTCTCCCAAACTGGGAGGATATATATGACTATATATAGTATATAGTCATAGTCACTTAAAGTTCAATAACTGGATACTTTGGTTTTAAAGTGGCAAATTTGTGGTGCTATGTGTTACATCAGCTCTAGGAAACTAACATAAGCTTGAAGTTTTAAAAATATCACGCCTTTCTATTATTAAATTCTACTCTTAATCCAAAGTTTTTCCTGTAATAAATAACCAACTAGAAGGGAAATGATAAAACATAGCACAAGTAAAGAGTGCTGGATTTGGAACCAGATGATGATATTCTAATCATGCCTCTAACCCTTATTAGATGTATAACTGCTACAAATGATTGTATAAATTCCCTCTCACTAATTGAAGTTACACTCTTTCACTATTTAACATTCACTAATAGAAGTACTGTGGTTTTCTCATTTGTAGAAATGCCAATCTCATCTGGCTGAAATGAGGATTTAGAAGAGTTATAAACCTCTTAGAACAGAGTCTGATAAATAGTAAGTACTTACTTAAAAAATAGATAAGAGACCAGACCCAGTGGCTCATGCCTGTAATCCAAGCACTTCTGCAGGCCAAGGCAGGAAGATTGCTTGAGCCTAGGAGTTTGAGACCAGCCTGGACAACATAGTAAATCTCAGTCTCTGCAAATAAAAAGCCTATTTTTTTTTTTAATTAGACAAGTGTGATGCCACACACCCACAGTTCTAGCTACTCAAAAGGCTTAGGCAGGAGGATTGATTGAGCCAGGAGTTCAAGATTGCAATGAGATATGATCCAGGCATTGCACAACAGTCTGGGTGACATGGCAAGACCCTGTATCTTACAAAAAAATAAAAAATAGAGAGGCACACACAGAGAGAGGAGAACACCAGGTGAAGATACAAATAGAAGGAAGACAGTCACATTCAAAGGAGACAGAGATTGGAGTTAGATATAAATCAAGGATTACAGAGAATCCACCAGAAGTTAGAATAGAGCGCAAGGCACCCTGATTCTGGCCTTCTGGCCTTCTGGCCTCCCAACTGGGAGAAATAATAAATTTCTCTTGTTGTGAGCTAAAATTAAAATGCAAATAAAAAAATAAATAAGATAAAATCAATGTTTAAAGTGAAAGCCCTGCCCATCTGAAAAATGATGAACTTCAAATAAGAGATCATTTTCTCCTGCCTTCCAGAAAATTTCAGAAAGCTATTCAACATGATTTCTTTGTTAGATTCCTAAATTGACTCTAAATTGGTAAAGTTGACTTAAGGTACAACTTAAGTCATGTAAACACACTAGTAGCTTAGGAATTGGCAAACATATTCTGTAAAGGGCAAGATAATAGATACACCAGGCTTGGCGGGCAACTACTCAACTCTGCTGTGGTAATGCAAAAGCACAGACAAGACATAAATTAGTAAGTGTGGCTGTGTTCTAATAAAATCTTATTTGTGAAAACTGAAATTAGAATTTCATATAATTTTTCCTTGTCATCAAATATTCTTCTTTTGATTTAAAAAATGTAAAAAACATTTTTAGTTCACAGGCCATACAGAAATAGGCAGCAGGCTAGATTTGACCCAGGGGTCATGGTTTGTTGAACCCCAGTGTAGCTTAAAAACAAAGGTTTTTAAATTCTAAAGTGACTATGACTATATACACCTGAGTTTTTCTGCCTACAAAAAGAAATGAAACATTAGGATAGCTATTGCAAAGGCTTTCTTAGTTCATAAGATAGTGAGGAAGCAAATGATTCCATTTAAGAAATAAGAAATGGAAACTGCTGTTTACTTTATTAAAGTTATTCCCAACTTGTCAGCATTTCATAGCATAGTGGTATTATTAAATGTTAATTAATTCTCTACACACTGAAAGGCTTTTCAGTTTAATGTTAACAGCCCTAAAGAACCTTTATTGTTCTAGCGTGACATTACATATTCTACATGCTTTGGAGCCAAGAAACACTTGAGAATTTATGGGAAGCTTTCTTTCTAATTAGACCATACACACTGATTTAATTTTTTGTTGTAAATGATAGAAAATACATGAGATATTATATGAAAATCAAATCATGAACCTCTGTACCTCTGTACTTAATCTTAAACTGGATACAGTTTGCCTTTCAAAAATTCCTTCATTAGAATAAAAACAAAAGAAAAGACCAATTCATCTAGTAGATCTGGTTTCCCATTTACAAAAACAAGTTGAATTTTCCTTAGTAGCTATTAAATAAATTCACCTTTGATTATCCTATTCCATCCACCAATTCTGTTAACTCAGTGCTTAAAGGTAGAATTGGAGAAGTAGATGTTTAACCAATCCAACTACGTAATTGATGAAGTATCTGCCTATTCACAAATAGGTCACTAGAACTAGAGGGATTTCACTTCAACTTTAAGCTCTTTCAGAAAAATCACTAACATTTGAAGAAACAATGGAAAAAAAAAAAAACAGTGGAAACAGCCACATCACAAAGTCCCAAAGCTGCCAATGCTGGCATGGGTTCAGAGAGAAGGGAACACTTACACACTATTGGTGGAACTGCCAACTGGTACAGCCTTTTTGGAAAGAAGTATGGAGAATTCTCAAAGAGCTAAAAGTAGACTTTCCATTTGATCCTGCAATCCCATTACTAGTTATCTACCCACAAGAAAAAAATTCATTTTATCACAAGGACATTTGCACTCAACTGTTTATAGCAGCTCAATTCACAAATGCAAAGATGTGGAAACAAACCAAGAGCACATCAAACCATGAGTGAATTAATAAACTATGGTATATATGTATACCATGGAATATTATTTAGCCATAAAAAGATGGAGACTTTACATCTTTTATATATACCTAGACAGAGTTAAAGAACATTTCCCTTGATAGTATATCTGGAAAACACCAGGGATTCTACTACAAAACTCCTAGAAGTGATCAAGGAATACAGCAGCGTCTCAGGTTACAAAATCAACAC